TTTCCCAGTCCACTCCCTCTCCCCACCATCCCCAGAGCAAGCTCCCAATGTTGGGTGAGTTGTTCAGTGGGCTTGCTCCTCTGGCCTGCTTCGTGGGGCACTGGTCCATCCTCAGTCTACTCCTGCAGCACCAGTTGCGTGTGCTTCAGTGGTCACATAATTTAATTAAATGCTATAGAATCCAATGCAAAATGAATGTGTAACAAAGGTGGTGTTTCTATGAAAACAAAATTAAATGCTTTAGAAAGACTCTAAGGAAATTTGGTGAGAGATTGGTGTTGAATGAGGCAAATTGACTGTAAAAGATTGACAAGAAAATTGTAAAATGTAGGATGGTTGAAAGTGTCCACTTTAAAGAAACAAAGGAAAAATCACAAATTGTAGGTTATGGGTGTGATTTATGCAAAAAACTAAAATAAACTTTTAAAATTAGGTCCAGTTAATGGGCTTATGTTTAAAGAAGAAGTTTGTTGCTTGAGGGATAATTGTTATATTGTTCTGGGGTGAAATGTTTGAGAGGCACATAGCATTTGACTTTCCGCTTAACCAGTTTTTGGCTTCATGATTTAGCAGTCTTGTTTATTTCAGACAAGAATTCTTTTACCAATGTTTATCAGCCCATTTACAAGGCAAATTATTTGTGTTATTTGTAGCTGAACAACATTTAGGAATAATTTGACTTTTTTGTTACAAATGGTTATAGTTAGATTTTTGTGCATTAATTTGTCATGGGAATAATTTTTCTTTTAAAAATGTTTTTCTGTAGTACCTGATTCTGCAGTATAAAGTTACAGGGTTGATCTATAAGAAATTGTTTTTACTAAAGACCTGTTGCATTTCCTTGGCACAGAGTGATTAACAATTTTAAAGGTATCCAGAGAGCTAAATCCTCCAATCCTTCTTGTCCTGCCACTTACGATGCCTGTCTGCCTGCCTGCCCTCCTGTCTGTCTTTCTAGCTTTCTTTTCTTTTCTCTTCTTTTCTTTTCTTTCTTTCTTTCTTTCTTTCTCTCTCTCTTTCTTTCTCTCTCTCTTTCTCTCTCTCTCTCTCTCTCTCTCTCTCTCTCTCTCTCTCTCTCTCTCTCTCTCTCTCTCTCCCTTTCTTTCTCTTTCTTTCTACCTGGGATCAAACTTACCACCTTGTGCTTCCCAGGCAAGCACTTGGAGCTGCTGAGCTAGATCCCTGGGCCATTATTTCTTTCTTATCTTTCAGATATTTTTAATGCATGTATAAGTTAGTATGGACATATAGTTTTTATTTTATGCAAATGGCATCATATATCCACATTCTGGTATTTTTATTTAGCATGCATTTTTGGACCTCTTTCATATTAACATATAAAGTGTTTTTTTTTTTTGTAGTGGGAATTGAACCCATGACCTCTCACTTGCCAGGTAGGCGCTGTGCTGCTGAGCTGTATCCCCAGCTTGATTCTGTGTTATTTTCTCTTGATTTTATTCAGGTTCCATTCTATGAGTGGACTGTAATTTAGGTCACCAGGAACACAGAATTTGTGATTCCATGCACTGAGTTCAGACCCAGCTGTCTTATAGTATTCTAGAAAGGTAGCGTCGTTGTTCCTTCCTTTGGCTCATATTTTTTGAAGCCTATGATTGTGCCGGGGGGGGGGGCACAGAACAAAATATAAAATATATGCAGCCTTTATGGAGCTTTCATTGCAATTATGGAGAAAGATGGTGGCCGTTTTTAATAGGTGACGTGTGGCCTGTAAGAGTGAGATTTGTGCTGTGAAGGGGAAGGATGCAGGAGGAGTGGTACGGAGAGTGAGGTGTGGCTGATGAGAAGGCTACTTTCTAAACAGGAGGTCAGGGCTGGTCCATTTGCAAGCACACAGCCTGAGGATGGGTGAGGCAGGGAGCCTTAGTAGATGTGGGGGAAGGGCATTCTGGAAGAGATGTGCAGTGGACCTGTGGAAGGGGTGTGGCTGCCGCTGAGGGCTCTTTCAAGGCAGTGAATCTGAAAAGCATCTGCCTTCTCATCCTGTCCTCATCAGACTGTGCAATGGCCACTGACCATTGCAGGATGGCTCTTGGTGCTGATCTGTGAGGCCTGAGAGAGGTGGTTTAGCCCCTGTGCCAGAGGCACTACCAGTCTGCTTCTGCTCCTGGGAAAAGAGTGACCTTGTCTCTGTGCACTAGGGAAGTAGGCAGCTTTGCAGAAGAAGTGTGAGCTGCATTGTCGTGGTTAATCTGCACTGCCCACTTGATTGGCTTGAGAGGTACCTAGGAGGTTAGTAAAGCATGTCATAGGGGTGTGATATAGGGGCTGTATTTGGTCCCTTGTTCCTTCTCAGACTCTTTCTCTTTGCCCTGCTTCCTGACAGCCACAGGTTGAGCAGCTTTCTTCCCTTATACTCTTTTGCCTCATACTTGTAGCCAGCTGATTGTGGATTGAAACATCTGAAACTGTGAGCTAAAATAAATCTTTCTTCCTTTAGTTGTACATGTTGGGGATTTTGGTCCTAGTAACTAAAAGCTGACTAATACATGCATTGCCTACTCACAGAGTGGCTGGAGCGCTGATGGTGAGATGGCTGTGTACCCCTCACAGTCCCCCAAATCCTAGTGGCCATAGCCTCAGGAATGGAAAATCTGACATCTCTTCGGATGGCCTCATAGTTGAGGACAGCAGGCCTGGCCTTCCAGGGATCCCTGCCAGAGGTTGAAACGTGAGGTTTGTGTGCAATGTGGACTTAGTCCCTTCTCTCAAGGATAGCAGCAGCCACCTCTTCCTTGTCCTTGGCACTGCATACAGGCTATGTGTCACCCTTCCCACCCGTGTGTTGGCACCAGAAGTGTCTGGGCCACCCTGTGGCTTGTCCTGTGAGTGCCTGTCACTCTCCTTCCTATATGTTTTCTGTTGCTGTCACAGTGTACTTTTGGCAAAGTCAAAAAACCCATCTTGCTGGGTTGTGTCCCCCTCCCAGTCAGACCCTGGCCGAATGTCAGTCCCCAGCAGTTTTGAACTGTGGCTGGAGGTCCTGGAGGTCCTGTTCTCTGGAAGAGAGCACCAGGCTTCTCTTTGTTAACTGTGCTTACGGCTGTCAGTGCCTCATTCAGTTTAGACACAGGTATCCCCTAGATCTGGTGTCTTTCAGACTTAGTGAAACTGGCACTTAGGGTTGACAAGAGCCGTGGCATCTGCTATTAGAACCTCAAAATAGCTGTGACGGGGCTGGAACTGCCTTTGCCGCAGAAATAAATCGGTGGGCTTGATCCCCACAACCCGCTGCTATTCTGCACACAGCTGAGTTTGAGTCAAAATTCAGCTGCAGATGGAACAAAAAGACTTTCCCTGAAAGCCCCCAGTTAGAATGTGAAAGCCTTCACAGCTGAAGCCAGAGTTTTCCGCAGCAGCTGTCACAGCTTGGGCTGCAGTTGGAACTGTCACTTTCCTGTCATTTCTGTGTTGGAGGCTCCCGAGGCCCCGAATGACTCTCACTTTGTAGTAGTGAAATGCGAGTTTCAGAATGGACTATTGGTGTTATTTTTAGGACACGATGGCACTTGGCATGACTCCTTCTAGTTACAAGCACTTAGCTAATCCCTAGAGTGCCCTGGGTAAGCATCTCTGAGTAGCTTTAACCACACACAGGTCAGGAGGCTTCTGGAAAACAAACACTTCTCCTGCCATTTGGAAGATGTGGGCCTCTGGTCTGGTTGGAGGTGTGGGGAAGGCTGTAACTGTGTGCTAATCTGCCCTGATTCTGCAGCTCACAAGGGCTCTCCTTCCCATATGCAGCTCAGGATGGGCAGCAGGAGTCTTGAGTTCTGCACCTCTCCCTGTAGGAATGAACCAAGCTCCTAGAATCTGGGGCTCCTCCTTTTGTACATGCCATTTGCCTTGCAGCCAGTGCCCAGGTATGTGCCAGACTGAGCATGTGTGGTGGGTGCTTCCTCTCATCAAACTCTCTGCTCTCAGTTGGGTGCCATGGGCAGCTTTACTCACCCTGCTAGCTTACTGTGTTTTTGTATGTTTTCCTTAATTTTTTCACTTTCTGTGTTATGCTTGTAATATATGAGTTTCTGTTGTAATAAGTGCGCATTGTGTGCATAAAGATCCCCTGACTGCCACCACTAATTCCAACTCTGACATGGAGGTGCCCTCTGAGATAGACTTGGGATGAATCCCAGAGTTGGTGTTCCCTCTTGCACAGTGACAGTAGTAGTGCAACAGAACATGGGGTGTGGGGAGCCAGCAACACTTTCCTGGCAGCTCAGGGTGGCAGCCTGCTTGCAGGGAACAGCTAGAGGCACAGCCCTTGGGACCAGTGCAGGGCCCATGTCACCTGTTCAGAGAATCAGTAGCAGCTGTGGGCCGCTGACACACATGGCCCCACACTTGTCTTCCATGCACTCCTGTGCTCATCTACTGATGAGTGGTGAGGAAAGCCAGTGTGTCCTCAGGTCCTGCACCCACACGTGGGAATGTCCACTGTGAAGTCTTGAGAAATCAAGATGTGGCTTGTGTTGGGTCTCGCTGTGTCCACAGATAGGTAGGATTTTGCGTTGCTGTTTAGTGCGTGTCATTTTCGGCTTCCTTATGGAAAAATGGAACCAGTGAAAGGGCTCCTGAGTGCTGGTGGATAGTTTTCAAAGTTACAAAGTGATATGTGTCTAGGGAATTGCACTGCTGCACATGTTGGGGGAAGTGAGGAGAGGAGCCAGGTCCTGCCAAGTGTGGTTTTGGTGCTGGGCACTAGGTGGTGTTTTGCATATGACACAGCGACACTGTGTGTTGTGTGTTGTCGTTTTTATCAATGGGATAAAGTGAAGGCTTCTGACAGCAGGTAGCCCATGTTATCTGCCTGGTGGAAAGCTGCAGTTGGACCCAGCCTCTGGCAAGAGTTCACAAAATGGATCCATCCTGGTCTGAAGCATCAGTGGCTGGTGTGGGTCCTGGTCCTCTATGTTGTGTGCAGGTGGCCTAAGTTCACTACTGGTACAGCTGGAACTGAGCATGTCTTCTTTATTCCTCAGGACCCCAGAAGACCTTTCCAATTTCATTGTTGAGTTGCAGCAGCGAGAACTGGCCCTGAAGGAGAAGAACAGTGCCATCACCATCAGGTAGGCTGGCTGGGCACCCCCTTCCCCTGGCTCTTAGGATGGGACAGACTGGTGCCTTCTGGGGTCATGCAGTATATTAGTTTGCTTTTCATTACTATAGTGAAGTACCTGAGGTTGAGTGCTTTTTAAAGAAAAGAGGGTTTTTGTTTTTTTTTTTTTCTTTGTCTTTTTGAGACAAGGTCTGGCTATGCAGTTCAGCTGGCCTTGAGCTCACTTTGTAGCCCAGGCTGGTCTCAAAGTCATAACCATTCTCCTGCTTCAGCCTCCTGAGTGATAGGATTATAGGCTTGTACCACCACTGGCCAAGAAGAGGTTTTTTAAACACATGGTTCTGGAGATTGAAGGGCATGGTGCCAACATGAACTTAGCTGTAGTGAGGACCTTGTGGCAGGTGACAGAGCTTATTGTCACCTAGGAGTGGGAAGGACTGAGTGTCCTCCTTCCACAGGAGCTCTCACAAGTGCTAGCCAAGAGGCCTGACAGTTGCCTCTGTCCTTTATGGGGACAGCATCCTCCATGACCTGTGGACCTCCCACTAGGCCCTACTTCCCAGCACTGCATGTTGAGGAGCCCCTGGGACTCACTCAAGCATGTGCAAACTGTGTCCCTTGGGAATGGCCACAGGTTTTGCCTTGGTCAAGATGGTGGGAGCTGGAGGTTGGGGAGGGCATCGCCCAGTATTCCTGGTGTGTCATGGTAAGGTTCTGCTTAGGCACCATGGTAAGGTGCAGCTTAGGCATTGTGACACTGTGCTGAGTCACCTCTGGGTCCTTGGTGGTTGGCCTCCTGGCTAGTGTACTCCTCAGATCTGGAGTGTTCCTGTGTTTGCAGCAACCTGTGGACTTCATCAAGTGTAGCCGCTCTGAGGGTACAGGTGTGTGTGCCAACTTGTGTCCTCATGGAAGGCCTGCAGAGCTGTCTGATGCCCTTGATGTGTATGACAGGCATCTCACCCAGCCAGCTTGAGCCGTGTGACCCCAGCCTACTTGAGAGGGGCAGCTGCAGGGCTTCTCCAGGATATGTTGTTTGGGTTTCTTCCTGACACTGCAGGGGTGGTATCTTTTCCAGATCATCTTCTCCAACTCTGACCCCTCTGGGTGTCTTAGGATTCTTTTCAATTCAATTCTAACACTACCTTGAATGAGCAGGTTCCAGGGCTCAGTCCCACAAGACTACCCCTTTTGGATGCCAGTGGCAAGTATCAGAGCTTCAGAATCCTCACTGTTTTGTCCATCTCCAAATTCAAGACACTCCATGTACCCCTCATCAGGTTTGATGACATCCTGCTCAAACTCAGGCAGATGACTTAGATTCCTGATTTATTGTGAAAGATCTAATTCAGGAGGAGCCAGATGGGAGGTGCACAGGACAAGCTGGGGTGAGGGCATAGTGCTTCCTGCCTTGTCCAGGTGGGCCTCTCCCAGCCCGCCCTGTTATCTCCAACCCTGAATCTTGTTCAAGAGTTTTCACAGCTGTCTCTAGCCCTTGGTTTAGTCAGTGAGGCTGAGTTCCCAACCTCTCTGAACTCTGGTCTTGCTGTAACCAGCTCCCATCATGAACTCTGCAGGGGCCTGCCCTAGGCCAGCTTGTTAGCACAAATTAGGTATGCTCTAAAGGAGCTCATTATGGATGACAAAAGGCACTTGTGTCCCCCAGGAGACACTAAAAGTCCTACCAGGAATGGGGACACAAGTTTGTGCTATCTTTATGTGCTTGGCCTCTTGTCTTCTTGCCCCTTAGCTGACTGCTCAGACTGGTTTCTCTCATGCCTTCATGGTGCTGCCCAGCTTTGGGTGTCCTGTCCACAGAATGGAGAGGCCTCTTTTCTGGAACAAGGAAATGTTTTTTTGGGACCACCTCTCCACCCCTGCAAGATTCCCCACTAAAACAAGGCCTTGTGTTTGCCTGCCCCAGAGAGGATGTTGACAGAGAAGATGGGGTTGCTGTGATGAGCTTCAGATAGTCTGATTCATGCTTGAGTCACCTGTGTTGTGGGACTACTGTGTGGCTGGGCCTCCTGAGGTGAGCAGAGCCACTGGGAGAGGCCTGTGCTAGTGACACGGCTGGACCGGCTGCTCTGAGGAGCTTCTGAAGTCAGCCTGTTTGCTGTTGATTATCAAACTGCAGACTCCTCCTTCCATGGAGATAGCATTTTAATAATTTATTAATAGCCAGAAGGAAGGGTTTCTTATTTTGAGGGTTGATGTCACTTTGAAAATCGGATTTTAGAAGCAGCTGGTTATGTTGGACATAATCACATCAATTTACTTTTTAAAGCTCAAATGATAAAGATTGCCTTTTGCTTTCAAAGCCACTGTCAGATGAAACGGGCATGAAAAGTGATTTGGAATTAAAGCCTTAACGTTTTGCTGGGTGATTCTCTTCATTTTTCCCTGACTATGAAACAGAATGAGCTATCAATGGAAAAGAACCTTGTCTGCATCTTTCTCCCCCTAAACAGTGAGGCATTTTCAGCATTTACCTGCTTTGACCTGTACTGGCAACCCCAGTGTCCCCGCTAAGAGCCACAAAGAAGGAGACCCTCTGTGTGCCCTTCTCTGCAACTCAGCTTGTGGCAGAAAGATTGGACCGAACCAGCTTTTTCCTTTGGGTCAGTTTTGAACGGAGTCTTTTTCACGGAGGTGCCTGTGGCTTGGGTGGTCTGTGATTCCAGGCCACTGACCACTTTGCAGGACCACTGGATTCCTCCGAGAGTCCATGCAGCTGCCCTGGGTGAAAGACAAGTTCCAGGGTATTCCATGGGAGTGGCCGGTGGGTGCTTCATACTTTCCTGCAGGTGAGGCAGCTATTTTAATTACTTTCCATCACTGGGACGAAGTGCACCTAGCACTACACCTTAAAAGTTTCTTTTGGCTCACACTTTCAGAGGGTTCAGTCCATAGTCTACTGGCTCCATGGCAGGAATGGCATGGTGGAAGGGTGTGGTGAGAGGACATGGATTCAAGCTGTGGTGTCTGGAAGCAGGAGAAAGAAGAGGGGAGCTGGGAGCAAGAATATAGGCTTCGAGGTCGTGAGCTAGGTCCTGCCTCCTAACAGCACATTCACCCACAAGCTCCTCAGTAGGTTCACCCATGAGCTAGTACCCCGCGACCCCTCCCCTTTCAGAAGTCCCACCTCTGAACTGAGGGCCACCAGGCTCCTTCCTCTGTGGTGTTGTGTAGCCCTGAGGAGCTGACCTGTGACCTTGTCACACAGGTGGTCTGGTTCACTGTCCTGTGGGGTTCGTGATGGTGCCTATCTTCTCCACAGATAGTCTGGTCCCTGTCACCCTGGAAGTGTTGGTGTATTGTTTCACAGCTGCGTGGCACTTCACAAGCCCACTTTAAGCAAAGCTGTGGTGGACTTTCTGCACCAAGATGCTTGAACGCTGACTTCTGAGGATGAATTCCGCAGTGGGGTCCAGATGTCCGAAGCTGGCCTTTAGAGCAGCGGTCCCCAACCTTTTGGTACCAGGGACTGGTTTTATGGAAGAAGGTTTTCTACCTGTCCAGTTTGTAACCAGCCCAGGGGTTGGGGATTCCTGCTTTAGAGGACAGATAGGATTTAGGGTGTACTCCCCAGTAAGCAGCAGACACAGTACCAGTCTCAGGCACCCTCACCTGAGTGTCACAGTTCCCTCCTTTGCCCATAGTATGTGCGGAATGCCTTGTCTTCCTGCTCACCGTCTCTGTAATATGATGTCTGCCACCCATGAAGGTGGAAAGCAGAGAGTGAGCTCCATGGATCAGCCTCCTCCTTGCCGTTTCCTCTGTGTCCCTTACGTAACCTGGCTTTCCATGGTGACCACAGTAGCTCTGGCCCATTTCCAGTGAATTGCTGCTTACCAAAAGTAGTGTTCTGAGTGGGAGCAGATGCTGGCTGATGGCCACAGGGAGAAAGTACTTCTGTCATTGAACTATGTATGACTTTACTCTGTGTTACCGGCAAAGCATGGTCCTAGACTTCCATCTTGGACTGAAGTTGTCTTTTTTTTTTTTTTTTTTTTTGTGGTACTGTAGGCTGAACCCAGATCTTCACACAAAGTAGACAAATGTTCCATTGAACTATAACCCCTACCCTTTTAAAAAATGTTTATTTTGAGATACAGTCTTGCTAAGCTATCTAGCCTGGGCTTGAACTTTGAGATCTTCCTGCCTCAGCCTCTTGAATAGCTGGGACCACATGCTTGCATTACCACATCCAGCTAGAAATAGTCTTTCTTAGTGCTTTGGGACCCTTTGGACTGGAGTCTGGAAGCCCAGTGGTTGGACTGCTACTTCCTTTTGATTACAGGTGGTGTTTCAGAGATGGGAAACTTTCTGAGCCCTTCCAAATGGCAGGAGATAGGAGACTGCTCCCCTTAGAAGGGAGGAAGGACCTGTTGCTTTGTGTCATTTACCGAGGTGCATTTCCTTATCTTGAAATGGAGAGAGAGTCTTTCTGTAAAGGTGTCTGTCCCAACTGAACTGAAAGAGTAATAAGATTCAAAATGTACTATAGATACTAAAGTAATGAAAGAGAAAGAAAGTTTTCAAAAAGAAAGAACAACTTGTAGGTATACACATATAACTGTGTATGTTTAAGTGTGCAAGATAGGTAACTGTACTACTAATTTTACTAAAAAGAATAGTTTGTGCTGTCATTGTTTATCTGTTCATTTTTTATGCTTAGACTTTGTAACTTGAACAACTATTTCTAAGATAACAATATGTAATATATTAACTAGTGTTGATTTCTTATTGTTTTTTTAAAATTCTATATTATTTCTACCTTGTTTTCTGTTTTGCTTTTTAAAAGTAAAAAAAAAAAAAGAGAGAGAGAAAAAAAGTGCCCGTTTCCGCACCTGCCTCCCTTCCAGCTATAATCTGACTGCCACGCAGGAAGTGTCACCCTTCCTGCTGCCCAGGCCTTGGTTCTTTGAGTTTAATCATGTCCCTTTTCTACACTTTCCTGACCTACCACTCACCTTCTGTGGGTCTGAGGAAGGCACTCCCATCGTG